GTTATGAAGATATATTCACATGTTCAGTATATTTACATACAAATTACTTAGTTCATTGGAAGTACAGGTACTTTAAATATTCAAGTTAACAAATATAGATTAGCAATGGTTATTCAAAGAAGCATTAGTGATTCTGGATCTAATGAACTTGAAGATTCATCTTTACTAAAGGATGTAGGTTTAATATTTATTATTTTTATAAAAAGTAGACCAGATAAATGTTTTTGATAAAAGATTTAAGATTGTAAAGTATATCATTTTTAACTGAATTCAAGAACTTGGGAATGCTTATCTATGGACTTTGTCGGGCCTTTACAACCATAGCTAATAAATACATCCTTGTGGTAGTAGATAAATATTAGTGTTTTAAAGCAGCCGTGGCATAGTAGTAGCACACTTGTCTCAGAAATAAAGGATCCATGGTTCAAACCTCACCTCTGGGCAAGTTTTGCAACATCGGTTAGGAAAGAGGTGTGATCTTCCTAATTAATGCTCATCCACAATGCTCTGTGATAAGGCTTTAAGGGCTTCTTGGGGCACCTAAATAAATAAAAAAACGAAATTCAATACCATAACTAGTGAACAAATAAATATTTATATCTATACATTTACTCTATTTGAAGCATTTTAAAATATATTTTTGTTTGATAAATGTTCATTTGCAATATATGATGAACTCATAAAAATAAAGACTCTTTAATAAAGGTTTTATTAGACAATTAAATACTAATCTAAAGTTAAAGGAGTTGAAATATATAACACAAACAACAATAAAAGCACTAGAAATCGCAACAATCTTCCTCTCTTTATGGAAAAGTCAACAATCTAGTTTCATCATTTTAATATAGTCATCATATTTTACAGAAACTTTGCAAGTTTTTGTAGAGCATCACAAACCATCATGAGATGGTATTGGCAAATTTACTTTTATTTCATTAAAAAAATGTTTCAGGTGATGGACTATTATTTACATTTATTACTTCTACTGTTACATTTTTGTTAGGCTCATTAACATTATTCTCATTTTCCATCCGTTATTATCTCTCATCGTCCATCCAGAATAAACTCTCATAGGGTGTACAATAAGTTGCAGTTGATATTAGCGAACTAGTGAGTGAAGGAATTTTTAATGCTAAACAAATATTTTTCCAGATCAAGCCATTTTGTTTCTCAACTGGTCCATTACTTAAAAGATGGTATAGAGTAGAATTACTTGTTGCTTCCTTTTTTTTAATCCATTAGATATAAATGATGAACTTATGTCAGAATTAATGTAAGTTGGAAAACTACATAAGAAGTCCAGATATCAGTTCACAACAGTTATTTAACTGATATCTAGACTAGAATAGCAAATGAATACCGGAAATATTCATCAATAACTTTTTGATGAACCATCTTAGTCTAGAAATAATAACAGTTTATTTCTAACCTTAGATGGCAATAGTAGCTAAAATCTATACTAAGACAATTAATTCGACATGTTGGTTTGAATTACATATCTTATATCAGGCCTTGTTATGAGATTTTGTTGGGTAAAAAAAAAACTCAAGTTAATGTAACTTTACTCTTTATTCATATTTACATTGTTAAAAATACGTCAGTTGCGTATTTTTAAGTAACCTATTGTAATTAAATTTAAATTGAAACCATGTTAAAAATCATTCAAAATCTTAATTTCTTTAAGTTAAACAATATTGTTAAAAAAAGATATATCAATAAAATTTGAATATATTTTTTGAATAAAAATATTTTAAAACTTAAATATAAAAATATTTTTAAAAACTTTTACTTATACTGTTTATTTCATAAAACATTCATAACATAACATTATTGTCTTATGTTTGCTTTCTCGCGATTTAGTTTTTTTTTTTTTTCATAATGAGGGGGGAGTTTATGGGTGGAGTTCTTAACAGTCTGTAACTTTTGTAAATTTCATTATTTTCAAGCCATTGGTCAGTATTATGATCAAGATCAAGATCAAGCATTGTCAGTTTTAAAATATTTGACATTTTCCCTTCTTTTTTAATGTTAAATAAGTTATGATAAAGCCAGGTTTTGTTCAGCAATGATATTTTAATCTTAAAATACAAAAAGTTTTTATGACTTTATCGAAAGCCTTTGATATGTCAAAAAAAAATTGCCCTTGTATTGGCGTCATCAATACATCTGATTACTAGTTCACATATTCTATTTAGTGTGATAAAATCTTTCATTTAACAAGTTAACAATTCAACTGTAGAACAAGAGAATCAAAATCAAAATAATTATGTCAAAATAAGTTGTTAGATTTAAGATAAGATATTAGAAATCTATTAAATGAAGACTTAAAGTTCTTTGCAAGGTTTTAAAGTCTTTATTTAATAGGTTTATATATATATATATATATATATATATATATATATATATATATATATATATATATTATATATATATATATATATATATATCATATATATATATCATATATATGTATATATATATACACACACACACATATATATATATATATATATATATGTATAAATGTATATATATATATATATATATATATATATATTATATATATATATATATATATATATATATATATATATATATATATATATATATATATATATATCAACCCTCGGAATTAGGAAAAATAAAATTATTTGATACAAAGGTTTGACCATAAAACATAGAAACGAGGTCGGCAATTTTTTGCCGACCTCAAACACTTTCAGGTTGGCAGTTAGGTCAGCATTGCCGAATACCTCTAATTCCGAGACTCTAATTCCAAGGGTTGATATATATATATATATATATATATATATATATATATATATATATATATATATATATATATATATATATATATATATATATATATATATATATACCAACCAATCTTCAAAGACTTAAAGACCTTAGCATGGTCTTTAAAGATTGGTTGGATGATAGTTAGAGGGGTCAAAGTTCTCCAGAGTTTTTAAAAATTGTAATCACAAATAGCATTTTTTTCCAGCAGGCAGGAAAACAAGTTTTTGTTAAGCACTTATAAAATAGTTTAGAAAGTATAAAAGAAAATTCTGAATTAGGAGAACACTTTTTTAAGTCAGACAGAAATGTTATCTGGACCACAAGCAGAAAAAGTGTTTAGGACAGAAATAGCTTTAGGAACAGAAACCGAAGAGATTTGGATGTTTAACAAAGAATTAATCTATTTTTCTGGAAATGAGAGGAAGAGTGTGGTCATTAGATTCAAGAGATGAATTAGAGTAAAAAATTTTTGCAAATAGTTCTTATCTTTATGACAGGTAATAAGATTAGACCTTTATTAGATATGTAATTTACATTTACATTTATTAATGACACTGTTGAGGATTTTCCAAAAGTCTTTAGAACTTAGCTTTAGATATAAAATGCAAGATTTAGTAAACTGAGAATATAAAGGCCTACCATTAGACAGCACCAGTTACAATGATTTCAGTTTATATAATTGTTGCGTAAACGCAACAATTATATAAACTGAATGTCATACAGGAATTTGTATAAGCATGTTAATTACATGTATGACGTAAGCTTTGCTAAGCTTATGTAGTACATGTAATGTATTATAATGTAACCTTTTTTTTTTTTTTTTTTTTTTACAATATATAGTCTTTTAACCTGACTGGTATCTTTCTTGTTCTAATTGATCTTCTCAAAGAAGGTCAATTAGAATTCCACCATTTGTTCAATAGGCGAGGGAGATTTTACTGGCATGTTGTTTTGTAAATTTTTGAGTTGATTTTCTGATGACATTATTGGATTATATAGAATGTTTGGAATAATGTGGTTTCTTGTCGGTGGAGATATTTCTTGTAAAAATCTTCGGTTGCGTAAAGTATGTCATCGGCTCCCATTTATTCTTACTCTATATTGTTGTGGTAAGGTTTCAATAATTTTTACCTACGGCTTTATCCTACGGTTAGTGGACGGTGGTGTTGTGGTTTTTTAAAATTTAATGAATTATGATATTGTTTTATTGCTGCTTTTTCAGGCATATCGGCCAATTCGGACCATTCTTTTCTGAATTGCATTGGGCTTGGTAAGTGGTCATTTATTGTTTTTCCAAATAATAATTGAGCTGGTGATGCTCCAATGTCTTGGGCTGGTGTGTTAATAATGCTCTTCCCACTTTGTTAGTGTTTAATGATTCACTTGAGCTGATATTTGTTGTTAGTAAACGTTTCATAGATTTTACAGCAGACTCTGCTCTGCCATTACTTTGTGGATAGTAAGCGGAGGATAAGCGATATTTTACACCACAGTCATTTGAAAGGGTTTCATCTCGAATGAACTAAATTGTGGTCCTTCGTCTCCTGATATCTCCTCAAGAATTCCAAAGATAATAAAATATTTTCTGAGTGCATTACAAATAACGAATGTTTTTGAGTTAGCTTTGGTTGATGCTACTTCTGTCCAACCTAAGAATCGGTCTGCGTATACTATATAGTTGCGACTTGCCATGTGGAATATGTCTATCACTGTTTTTTGAAAAAGGTATTCAGGTAATATTGGTTCTTCGAGTGGTTCTTTATGGTTTGAGGGTGCGATTTTGTTACATCTACGACATTGAGCTCTGTAGTTTTGTATTTGAGCACTTATGCCTGGCCAGAAAAATCTTCCTTTTGCGTTTTCTCTCATTGCAGCTACACCTTGATGTCCTTCATGTAAATAGTTGAGTAAGATTGATCTCAGTTTATTTGGTATTAAGACTTTACCATCTAAAAATATGAGACTATTTATGGCGTATAAATCGTAACGTTTTGACCAAATTCTCTAAGATGTGTTGGTATATTTTGTTTGTTTCTGAGAATCCTGTTTGTATATGTTGCAATAGATCTTGATATGTAGAGTCGATTGATGATTCTGTAACAATTCTATCCATTTTAATAGGGCTATTGAAATGATTAAATAAAGAATGAATGGTTTGTAATAAGCTGCTTTCAATATCGCATGTTTTGTTTGAGGTATTACTGTTATTGTTAGTAATTCGTGACAGCATCAGGAGCAAGATTATGTTTTCCGGGGATCGAAATTACTTTGAATTTATACATTAGTGTTTTTTCACGTATTTTAAGGATTCGAGGATTCTTGATTTCGTCTAGGTTTCGATCATTAAATATTTTTACTAATGGTTTATGGTCAAC